ACACTCCACACAGAGGGAGACACATACGTACAGCCGTAAGACACCCTCCCTCCCTCTCCCACTACCTTCCATGGCGTAGCTGGCTTGTTGTAGCGGTGCATTTCCGATATGTCCTGCGCACCCACACCCATGGAAGTCCATATCAGCGCCTCTCTGTCTGTCGCCGTATTAAACGCCTGGCTCTCACGTGTCCATACATACATCCACCAATACCCACACCCACCACGATGAAAATGTCCTCGGCCTCCAGGAGCGACGGGAAGTCTCGCCCGCAGGCTTCGAGCGTCACGGAAGGGTTGTCATCAAAGCGGTTGGTGAAGCGCGGCTCGTTTGGTATCTGTTCGAGGCGAAAACCCTTGACTGATCCAAACAACAGGGACGCAGTAGGTACACGTGTATAGAGTATATCATGATTGAGAAGGGTGTTGGAATGCCCTCGGAAAGTGCAGCCAATGGACCTGTGAGGCGGTCCATGGCAAAGGCTTCGTCATTGGTGCCACTACAGACAGGCAAATGGGGAGGGAGGGGGATGTCCCGTTCGATCCCACTTATCTGTGCCCTTCCCTCCCTGCCTGTAGGACGAGTAGGGACGGTCAAGGGGTCCAATCTTCTGAATGCTTTTGCTGTTCTCGAGCTCGCGGTACACCTCTTTGAAAAACTCCTCCCCGCGGGAAGGGGAGTCACGCAGCAGTCGCTTTAGCAGCTCAATGGCAAGGTTCTTGCGTCTGTAGCTGTTCTTTTTCGTCATCGGCAGGGCGAAGAGGGCCGCGTCCTTCAGCAGAACTGTGCGACGTGCAGCATACACAACCAAGCATCGCTTATTACTCCTCTCTCTGACGAATGGCTTTGTCTGTCGACTCCCTGACCTACGTGTTTGGTATCGTGTGCAATCGTCCTCGCACATTAACGGGCTCAGCCTGCTGCTGTTAAACTCTTTCAACGGCGGGAGGGGACGAGGCATGGGACCTGCATGAGCGCATACAGGTGACGCCGACCGACACATGTAGGGTCAAAGAAGGCAAGTGAGGAGGCAACCCCGTTGCGTGCATTGTTGGATCAGTGGGTGTCGTTAAGCGTGATGTCTACCTGGCGGGAAGTCCTGATGAAACAAAACAGAGATAGCGTGCCATCGGGCGACGAGAGGTGAGCGCGTGCATGCACCCCTCCATCTCCTCTAATCCCTCCCTGCTCATCTGCCTGTCTTACCACAACCTTGAAGCCGCCGTCATTGCGGAACCTGGATCCGATATAGAGCTGCACCCACACATGCACAAACCAACAGGGACGGATGTCACGCAGGCAGGCAGCTGTCTACCCTCTGCGTGTGAGAACCAATGCCCCAAACACTTGATACGCCCCTAAGTGTACTACCAGCACTATTCACATATCCACAAACCTGTCTTGGACCGTTGCGGAGGTCCTCGTCGCCCTGCACTTTCACAAGGTCGGCATGGCGCGTTGCGGTGGGCAGGTGGGAGCGGTGAGGCAGACTCAGAATCCTTGTTGCGAGGGGCGAGACTACCTCTGCGCCACAAAAGAGGAGGAAACCGAGACAGCAATGTAGTGGCTGTTTCACCGTATCGTGCGTCCGACTCAGATGGCTGCCTGCTTACGGGCTTTCATTTCACGAGCCAGGAAGACCGAGGCAATGGTGGCCAACGAGGCCAAGAGAGGGTGGAGGTTCGGCATTCCGGAGGAGGTGTGCCGGACGTCACGTCAAGGTAGGAAACTGAGCAATGCTGCACGGTTGAGCTGGCAGAGGCACCACATCATGCGAGGGGAAGGGGGGGCTGTATGGGGTGGTTATCAAGCATTGCTTTTGCCCCCCACTCCTATCGTTTGCCTACGTGTGGTAGCCGAAGAAAGTGTAAGAATAGGTGGGAGAGAGTCGGGGAGAATGGTCAAGAGAGGATCTGCCGGGCGGTCAGTCCCGGATAAAGGATTAAGTCAATGCAACGTAAGGTTTGTGGTTTTTGTCGAGA